GGTGAGTGTGAAGGTGAGCGAGGTGAGTGTGAAGGTGAGCGAGGTGAGTGTGAAGGTGAGCGAGGTGAGTGTGAAGGTAAATCCTAGAGGGGCAGGTGAGTGGTTATAAAAGCGGCACGCTCGGGGTGAGTCGCACGTGAACTCCGAGCAGTTTCTAATTACTTTGCTTTGGCTGCCAAGATTTGGGAAATCTGTAGCCAGCTCACCCCCGTTCGGGACGAGGGTGATGCCGCCCTGTGCTCACCCGTGTCTCACCAATCATAGGGGCCACTCAGATATGACATAGCAGGGTGTGCTCAGAACCCGAAAACAAACTCAGCGGGTCAATCGATCTCCGAAGCTGCGAGTATGGAGCGATGGTGGCCGAAGTACTCGTCGGGAGATTTCACCACGCAGGGCGTTTCACCACACGGGATGTGGATTACTCTGGCAGAATTTCGAGGGAGAGCCCTTAAGGTTTATTTCATCAATTGGGACGCCATGGCGGATCGACACCAGTCTTTGAGGGATGGTACGAGTCATTCGGTGCTAGGACTCGACTGTTCAAGGACTGTGGATGTCCGATGGCTTGCTGTGGCTGCTCGGTCATCACCAATCACGGCCTCAAGGATGGTGCCTGATTCTAGGGCTTCACTAGACCGGTCGTCTGCCTGGAATTTTTGGCTTTCATGTTTCTCGCACAAAATGCAAGGCTGAGCCACGCACATCTCGAGCGGGCATTCGCTCTTGAGTTCGTGGCGATTGCTATTATATAGGCACTGGCACTGGTATACCTCCCTCTTCTCCCTCCTTGCGTTGCTTTCTTTACTTTTCGTGAAAGAACACCTAGATATCCTTCAAATGCCAGCCTTTCGCTACTTCCCATCAGCGCCGCCGCAGCTCCTACTCCTATTCTACCGGGCGTGCACCTTCTGCCTGATCTCCCAACTCGTGAAAGCCGACACTTACCAAACAATTGCAAGCGTCGATGCATATAGTCAGCTTCGAGCGTGCGTGCAGATATGCTTTCTCTACGGGAATGATGGATGTGCAGGTGATTCTATTGCAGACGCGCTCAAATGTCCCTACGGATGCTTCAACATCGCGCTCGATTCCTGCTATTGTCGACCAGACCTGCAAACAGACGCGGAACGGCACCTCTCAACGTGTATCAAGACGGAATGCACCGGTGCCGGCGCCACCACGGTCGACATATCCAGTGCGGTCAGTATCTACGACGGATACTGCATAGCCGCGGGCTACACTGCGATCCGGGAGCCGTCCAGCACCGAAGCGACCACCACCCCGTCGTCAAATACCAACACCGTTACAACAACACGTGTGGTAACGGAGACGTCCACACCCACAACAACCACTATTGTCACCACCACGATTTCTTCAGGTCAAAGTCAGCAGACGTTCAGCTGTGAGTGGCTCTTCTGGGTCTCCAATGCACTCGGAGCCCTGCTATACAACCTCGTTCCATGATATGATTCGTGCTGACTCGAGTCTCGAACGGTAAGCCGGATCTCAATCATCCTCTTCCCTCCCAAGCTTTGAGCCATCTCGCTCAACAACAACGTCCACCTCAACAACAGCAACAACAAATTCCACACCGATCGACCCGGGAGATGTGTCTAACGGGCGTACAGATCCGGACCCCGGCCTCAGCCGTGAAGGCATAATAGGACTTTGCATAGGCATTGTTTCCATTGTCCTCGCGCTGCTCACCTACCTTTTGATGTTAAAAATCCGAAAGGAGAAGAAGAAAAAGGAACAAGAGAGGCTAGCAGAACAAGCCGCGAGACCCGATCTTCTTCACTCAACTAAGACGCAGAGGCAGACACACGACCAAGGTAGAAGAGACAGTCTACACACCATATGGCATCA